CTCCCAGGTGGGGGCTGCAGTCCCAGGAATTAGTCATGTTTTGACTAGCAGAGTTATGGAATTTATAATGGAGGCCCTGGAGAAATTAAACACGGATTATGGCCAACCCCCTCCCCCAGCCCGATATTTCCAGTGGGAATGGTGCCGACCACCAAGCTCCCTCACCCCCTCCAAGAGCCTGGCGTGCTGGCCCAGAGATCTGCGTGAAGGTGGTGACCCCACAACACAGGGTGACCAAGGAGGGGCTGCCCACCTCCCTGGGGTGGTGTCCTCACCTCACCAAATCTTGGACAGTGGGAAGCAGACCTGTTCTCTGTGTCCGGGGCGGCACCACGCACCCAGACGGTGTTCAGTAAGATTTATCAAACAAATCTGTGCCTTCAACACCCCTAGGTCACCTTCCTGTGTTTGGGAGGTACCACATCCATTCTGGATTCTCCAAGGAGGGTGAGACACAGAGCTGGGGTCAGGACAGCAGCCTGAATTTGAGCAAATCCAGTGAATTCTGTCTTATTCAGAGAAAAGAGTTGGACCCATGTCTCATTCGCTGGGTCTAAAACTCCAAAGATCCCTGCAAGCAATGGGACAGCAAAGCCCCAGCACCGGGGCTGAAAAGCTCAGTGAAAGGACAGGAAGAAGGGGTCCTTGTTAGCAGCAGGGCGAGCTTTGAGGCCCACGCTTTGGGACATCCACATGTGACTGACAGCTACCAGGGTCTTCAATCTTAGTGTGTTGCTGCAGATGAGTGACATGGGGGGGGGAAATGAACCCTTATTGAGCACCTACTATGTGCCAGGCACTGCGTTAAGTACTTTGTGACTCGTCAATTTAACGGGGTCTAGAAAAGGGCTCACACAGAGCAGGTGCCTGGTAAATATTCATCAGTGAGTGCAAGGAGGTAGGTGCTATTATCATCGCTTTACAGACCAGGCAACACCGCCAGAGAGGGGCAGCTCTTGGCCCCAGGGGACACAGCATGCAAGTGGAGAGCAGCGATTCAAGCCTGAATCTGTCTGACGCCAGTACGAGAGTTGTTTCTTTCCTCTTAGCCAAGATTCCTTCTTTCGCATTCAAAACTGGCTTCTTACCACAGACCTTGAAGCCTGGGAGCTGTCCAGGGTTTGCAGTGCTGAAAGGAAGTGCACACGGAGCCAATCACAGCTGCCACAGCTGGGACAGGGCAGGCTTTCCTTCAACATGAATTCATCTCACTTTCTCACCTGGAAGAGGACTCTCCCCAAGTCCCACATTCTGGCTGCCTCTCCTGCACCCCAGGGCCTGGATATGCACTAAAAGTGACAGCTACCAGACAGAGGTCAGACGATAGAAAGGAAGATCTGTTGGTCCCTCCACCACCACAATTCCCAATCTCAGGCATCAGAGAGAAGCGAGGTTCCAGACAACACACACGGAGAGTAAGAGTCTAATAGAAGGCATGTTTTCATGATTTATATGATTCCTCTGGTCTGATCCCTGTCAGGGCCATTTTCCAAGCTGTACCCAGAGCTCCAATCCTTCAATGATGTCATGACTCTGCTTACAATTCTATAGGCCTCCCTGTCACCCTCAGGATGAAATCTTCACTCCCTGAGATGACTTGCAATGTCTTTCAAAAGCTGACCCTAGTGACCTCTGTCTTCATCTATGCCCAATCCCTACTACCATCCTTCTCCAGCCATTCTAAATGTTCTGTATATTTAAACTCCCATGTCAGGTTGTCGCAGGCAGCTGTGGGGTTCCAGCAGGGACAAGCATTCCAAACAAAAGGAACAGCACGTGTTCCTTCTTCCCTTGCAAGCCACATCTAGGTCATTACTTCCTACAGAAGGCCTCTCTGGCTGACTGCTTCTCTCTGGAGCCAGTCACTCTCCATCCCTGTGATACTTCTGTGTACATAATGTTATTCTGCACTCAAACAATGAAAGAAATTACCCTGACATGCCTCCTGTGGCACAGGAGGTTAAATAAATCTCCCCAAGGCAACAGCCTCAGAAAGCAGCATTGCCAGGATGCTAATGCTGATGATCTGGCCTCGATGTCCGAGTCCTTGTCCACTTCACCATCTGCCTCTCTGAAGAAAGAGGCCCTAAAAGCGGGAGAGGCAATTAAAGTCTCTTCTAGAGCCAGTGACTTTGTTCTCTGCCTCAGCAGAACCTAAAGCTTCCACCAGGGTTATGTCAGGGAACTTGGGCATCCAAACCCCACCCAAGTCCAAATGCAAGGGTGCCAAGCCCCAGCCTTGGCAAGAGAAACAGGCAGGACTGTGCCCTCACAGCTGGGCATGGCCCGCCTGGGGACCATCTCTTTGTCCCCTCCAGCAGCCCCACCCAGCCCCCTCTCCCCAGCTGCCAAGACCCTGCCTCCCACCCCCTGCACCTGGCTGCCCCTGGCAGGCAGCCTCCCCCCACTCAGAGCAGCTGCCAGCCCATGCTGGAGCTGGCAGGCATCTTCTGGGCCCCACTCACCACCCCGCCAGGCCTGGCATGCCAGCAGTTCCGCCTTAGGTTGATGGCCCTGCACAGCCCCATGGAGCTGCTATTTTTAATTTAATTGGAGAGTCAGAGGAGAGAGATGGTACCCAGCGAGGGAGTTTTAAAAGCTTTCGGGGTGGGGGAGGGGGGGGAGAAAGCGAAGAAAAGTTCATAATTATACACCAGGCAGCCAGATTTGATGCTTGAACAGAAAGGTTAAATGTTACATTCGGAATAAAATGAGAAAAAGCGTTCTGATGACAGTTGCCCAGAGCTAAATAATGAAAAAAAAATACCCCTTGCCCATCCTTCCTCCTTCTTCCTCTTCTCTCTTGTACTCATTTCTTAGTTTTCCCACTTCTGCCTTTCCAGGTTCAGGTGTACACAAACAAACCTGTTCCGCGCACAAAGATTACTACTCAGCATGTCACACCATGACTGCCTCCCCGACGCAGCTTTCACTCAAGTCTGGAAAATCACACGTCTGCATCTCTCAGGGCCAAGGGGACCAACGAGGCCCAGATAAGCAGGAAAACAACCTGGCACTATGGGTACAACACTGGGCTTTAGTATGGATAGATTCAAGTTCCTGCTCTGCCGAAAATCAGGTGGTGTGGATCAGCTCTCCCAATGCCTGCGCGCCTCCTGGGTCTTTCAGCTACCTCGAAGAAATGAGGCATAAGCAGAAGTCTGTGAAATGAGGCTTTCCTGGTAAGAAACAGAGTCCGGGCACACTCTCTTCATCCTTCCGTTTCCTGCAGGGATGATGGGTGTAATGCCCGGAGCTTCTGCAGCAATTTTGTTACCACGAGGCAACCCAGTGAAAGAAAAATAAAGTACTTGCTGATATAGATAAAGTACCGTCGCATGGGGCTGCCTACTTATTACCTGAAGCAAATTCCAATGTTTCTATGACTTTTCGTCTCATTTTCTAAAAACGCGGATTCATTCCTAATTGTAACACTCTATTATTAGCTGAGCTTAAGTGTGAACTTGAGCAGGTGCTTAATGTTGCTAAGCTTCAGTTTTCCTATTTGTATATGGGGGTAAATATCACTTATTTCACAGTATGCCCATGAGGATTAAATATGGCTCTATTTGTGAAGCACTCACCAACAAGCCTGGCTAACGACACTGGGTGCTGTTTCTACTAATACTGCTGATTAACGGGAGAGTGATATGGAATTATAAAGGTTAGAGTCACATCTCATTTTCAACAATGTTTTCTAGTTTTCAAATCAACTTCTCATCTCTTGTCTTAACGCATCCTCAACCCCACATCTCTAAGAGGAAGACGTGACACAACTTGCCCAGGGTACCTTTGCTGGTGACAGAGCTAGCCTGCAACTCACCTCAGACTTCCAAATACCCGGATCTGTGCTAGGCTGGTTCTGAGCTGTTCCACTGAAGAGTCATCATTCCAGGCCCCCACCTGTTTCCCTGGGTATTACTGATGTCCCAAATTTGGGGATAAAGTTGTGATTCAGAGAATACGGTTCATGTACCAAAGACAAGGTGAGCTGGGCCCCGGTCTCCGATTCTCCTGCTGTCCCTGAAACAGCAGGGACACTATACCTGGAAATCTATTTGGCTGTTAGCATTAGGGGTCCATGAGCCCTTTCAGAAGCAGTCACAGAATCCAGTAGTTGAGAACCCACACTGACATTGAACCTCGTTTCCCTACTTATCAGAAAAAATATTGGTTAAATAAATAACAAGCTCCTTTCTATATATAGGTAGAGTAAGCAAACAATGGTACATCAGCAAGCAAACAATGATTACATCAACATGCCCAAATCTCCGTGGTTGCACATATGGGGCTTCCCCATGTCCCCATGCAGTGCAGGTGGTGGGTTGGGCCATTCAAGTTCCTTCCATCTCAGCTCTGCTGTCCACTGTCCACTGGAGCCTCTGCACCCCTCGGGTTGACGGGGTTATTTTAAGAGTCAGATGGACACTGACCTGGCCAGACCTGTGTTAGGGTCATGTGGCCCTTCCTAACTACTGGGGGACCTGAACACATAACCTCACAGGTGCCAAGGAAGGCAGGCACAGTTACCACCCGTCCCCAGGAGTCTCCATCTCAAACCACCCCATTGAATGAGGCACCCCTCCCCTCCCTGATCACAAAGCTTTGTGACATCTGATTCATCTCATGCTTCACCATCTGAAATACATTTCCCGTCCACAGCCTGTGTTCCCACAGCACACAGTGAGGTCTTTCGAACCAGGACCCTCAGGCGTCTTCCGTACTTCAGTGTACCCTGACACAGGGCCTGACTCACAGCAGGTTCTCCAATATTGATCAAATAAATGTTAAAACTAATAGAAACTCAAATTTAAAACAACTATTGGGGCAAGTGGGGTGAATGAGAGGCAGTGGAAGGAGGTTCCAGGTCCTTGTCCACTCTGCTCAGCAGTAACCACTGTTCATCAGCCCCCAAAGTCCTCACAACAATCTCCACGTCTCCCCAAGGGGCTGCCCACCCTACACCCACCTATCACAGAAGCCAGCACTGGTTCCAAACAGGTTATTTATTTGCAAATATAAAACAAGACCCTGGCCCAGGTGGGAAGGGCACTGCAGACCCACCTTTAGCAATTCCTCCCTGGCCAGAAAGGACTAGAAATTCAGCTGTCCCCATCCTCACCCTCCCGTGCCCCCTAGTCAAAAATAAGCAGGACCACTAGCCAATGGCCCTAGTCCCTCTGGCCCAGTGAAACCTACTCCCCCCAGACGAATGAAACTGCCCAAGGAGAGGCTGAGAAAAACAGGTGGCCCTTGGCACAGAGGGGGCATCCAGGGACAGAACCCCAATAAAAGGTCCCCAGGAGCATTTCCATTTCCTGGGATGACACCCGAGCCCTCCAGGAGCTGGGGTCCACTCTTGAAACAAGATAAAATTCTAAAACATCCCTCGTGACCCAGAATTCCGAAGCCAGCTAAGCCCACCCCTGCCCGGACCCCCTTGCTGAAGTCAACCTGCTCGCGCCGCTCCGAGGGGAGCCGGGGCCTTCTGGAGCCCGCAGGTCACATAAGCAGCTGCTCGTCATACTCCTCTTTGGTCAGCCACTGAGACCCATAAGTGGACAGATGAGCCACAACAGATGCCCCGAGCCAGACGCTGAAGTTTCTGTTGGAACCTACCGACATGGAGACCTGGATGGAGGGGAAATGATCCGTGGTCAGCTCGTTGAACAGGCGCTTTGTGAAGCCCGTGCAGAGGGTGTTGCCGCCACAGGCCATCACGTGGGAAGCCAGCACCGGCTGCACGGAGGCGTCACAGGTCTCAACGGAGTCACGCACCACCTGCGAGAGGCCTGGCCCTGGCAGGTCAAACCTCTGGGGGCTGAAGAACATCTCCGGAGCCATCCGCTGCATGGCGGTCAGCTCTAGGGCGGTGCCATCTGGGAGCTGGTAGGTGTTGCTCTTATCCGGCCTGCTGGCCCGCCGTCTCTGGTGCAGGCCCAGCGCCTCCTCAAAACTCGGCGGCACGAAGCACCTCTTCATCTGAATGGTGGTGACCGTGTCCATCTGAAACAGGTCGTGCTCGTTGCACTCCTCCTGAAAGAGGCTCTTGAAGAGGTAGGCGGAGAGGTCCTGGCCCCCGAACTCCAGCGTCCTGCCGCCGGTGCGGACGGAGCCGCCCAGATGGAAGGGCTGCACGCGGGTCAGGCCGTGGCCAGAATCGACCACCACGCCGGTCAGGAGGCCCGAGGCGTAGAGGGACATCTCCAGCTGGTCTGCCAGGAGTATGGAGGGGACATTCAGGGACTCAAACATAATCTGCAAGAAGGGAGAAGGCAGTGGCTAGGGGTGCTGTCCCTGAACAGAGGGCGCCCACCTGTTGGTTTGCCCCAGAACTATGCTAAGCGCTCAGCTCTCAAAACTGAGGTCAGGGGCCTCCCCTGGTGGCGCAGCAGTTGAGCGCTGGGCTGCAGGGCTGCCCGCAGCCTCTGCAGCACCGGTTCGTTCTCCGGCCACCGGTGAGGGTCCCACAAAAAAAAACAAAACACAAAAACTGAGGTCAATGTAGACAGATGTCTGTAAGGGGCTGGTGGCTGCACCCAGGGTGCTGGGCTCAGGGCCCCTGAGGCTGTGCTGTGGGCACAAGGGAGTGGGGGCTCTTGAGGATTAGGAAGAATTTGGGTTTCAGGAGACCATTTTGGCAGCAAGGTGAGAAGGGCTGTCAGATGGCCAGAAATGGCACTGAGAAGCTTGACATCGTGTGGGGCAACAAGTGGGGGGGCCACAGCTGAGGCTAGCCTGGCAGCCTGAACCATGAAAGGTGAGGCTTCAAAAATGCCAGGAAAGGAAGGAAGAGGGAGAGAGCAGAGGGAGGGAAAGACTCACCTCCTCCTGGCAGGTGAAGTCTAAATTTTAAAAATAAAATATTCTCAAACATCAAGACAAAACTGGAATTTGGTATTTAGGTTTTGGCCAAGCCACTAGACTGGGCTTTACAGAGCACCCCCAAAGTTTCCTACCCTGCCCCACTTCCCAGCTCTGGCTGCACCCCAGGATCCTGACCCTATACCTGCAGAAAGGTTGTTGACCACTTTCCTGCCTCCTCACGCCTCGGCAGCCCATCATTGCCCCTCAATGGCAGGGAGCTCCCTTCTTGCATACAGAATATTATTCCCCCACTACCCAAATAGAAGCCAGCATTCTCTTTTTCAAACAGAAAATCAAATATGACTCTCCCACTTAAAATTCCCCCAGAAGCTTCCTATTCATTTAGAGCAGGGGTTGGGGAACACATTCTGTAAAGGGCAAAATGGGAAGGGTTGCCAGATTTAGCAAATAAAAATACAGGATGCCCAGTTCGATCTAAATTTCAGATAAGAAACAAATAATGTTTTTGCATAAATATGCCCCATGCAATATTTGGGATATAAAACATCACTTGTTGCTTGTATGCAATTCAAATCCTAGCCAGACATCATATAGTTTATCTAGCGAACCAACAGCAGTAGATTTTGTTAAGCTTCACATGCTATATAGTACCTGTTGCAACTAGTCAACTCTGCTGTTTTAGTGGGAAAGCTGCCAGAGCTGATATGCAAATGAATGGGCGTGGCTATGGGCCAATAAAACTTTATTGGGAAAAAAAACAAATGGAGGGCCAGCTTCAGCTAATCCTTGATCTAGATAAAATCCAAGCACTTCCCACAGCCTACCAGTCCTGTAGAGTCCAGCTCCTGCCAACCTCACTTTCTTCTCTCCCTCTTGCAACCTCCCTAGTTCACTGGGTTCCAACCTCCCTGGTTTGAGTCACCTCCTCAGAGAAGTCCTCCCTGATCAACCTCTTGAAAGGGGCTCTCCCTCTCCATACCAGTCTTCTATCACTCAATTTCATCTTGTTTCTAGAGTTGACAACTATCTGGCATTCTTATCTGTTAACTTATTTATGGTCAAGTCCGAACCTAAGCTCTTTGAGGGCCAGAATATGACCTGGGAACATTTACGGAATGCACGAATAGATATCCCGTCTCCCCCATAGCACTGTTTATACAGTATTTTAGCTGCTGAGCCTCTGCTTGAGGAGAAGCCTCTGTGAGCCCCTTTTGCCCCATACAGTGTCAGGCACACACAAGACACTCAGAAAACATTTATAGGGCAAATTATTTAGAAAGCAGAGTTTCTGAAGCCCAGCCATGTCCAAACACAAACTTCCAGGCGGTTCCCCACTCCCCAGTGAGGTCAGCCCCAGGATCCCTTACCTCCAGGGTCTTCCGCCGGTCCACAGGCTCTCTCAAGGGGGACTCTGTGATGATTACAGGGGAGTCCTCATGCCCCCGTCTACATTTCTTCACAACAACTGTCCAGATGTTCTCCACAGCCTCCCAGTTGAGGACACGGCCACGCTGTATGGGGTAGCTAAAGGTGTCGGGGTGGTCAGAGCTAATGCCTAGAATCAAGCGCCTCCGGGCAGAGCTGGGGCCAGGGTTCTCTCTGCATGGCAGGTAGCTCACGATGCTCGGAATGACCATCTGGGGCTCATTCAGCCCGGACAAGCCCGCCTTCAGAAAGCCAGACCCGTGGTCGATGATAATGGTCCTTGCAGACATGGTGGAGGCAGAGGAGGGACAGGCCTCTGGACTTGGCTCTGCAAGGATGTTTGGCAAACTCAGGCCACCTGTGAAAGGAAAGGATGGGGGATCAGTGAGCGCATTCTAGATCACCTGGACGGCATCCCACCGTTCTCCCAGAGTCAAGCCACAGGCCCCCCTCCCAAGCCTCTGCACCATCTGTAACCTGCACCTGGACTGGTCTTCCCACCCCAAGCTGCCAATCATTCTGTGAGGCCTTCCTAGTGGGTGCACTCTGGGATTTCCTGCTTCCCACCAAGCTTCTCCCATTGTACACCAGGCGGGCACTTCCGATCCATAAGAGCAGGGATTGGGCCCCAGCACACTCCAGCGACCTGACAAAAAGTTTTTCACACAGCAAGTGTTCAGCGGTTGCTGGCTGCCTGATTCAAGGACACATGGGGCAGGATCGGAGCCCCTGATGTAAAATAATATGTAGCACCTGGAGGGGTAGTAATACTGATGGCGAGGGTGACATGCACTATTTCTGGGGTGCATACCCTCTACTTAGCATTTAGCTGAACAATGTAAAATGGCCATTTTTGTTGGTGAAAAATGATCAAATACCAGCAATTTCATCTGATTTGACCTGATACTCGTATATCTTCATCCCACTCCATAAAGCAGGTACCATGTTACACCCATTTTACACATGGGCAAATTGAGGCACAGAGGGATTAAAGTTACAAATAACAAAAGCAGGGTTGAGAGTTAAACCCAAACCAGATTTCTACAAACCACACTCTGAGCATGAGGCTAGGATGAGAAGTGGTAGGTTTGGAGTGTGAGCTGAGCAGCTAACTCTTTATATGAGGGAGGCTGAACATGGAACATCTAACACGATTGTGCTCAGTTTCCTCACTTATCAAGTGGGGAGAGTAGTAACCATCATGCTGACAAGGTAGCTGTGGTCACTGCCTGACTTCCAGACTTACTGGAAAACAACAGTAGCTAAAACTCTGTGCTATTAGTGAAAGGAAAATCATAGATTCAGGGACAGAATGAAGACTCCAGAGATAGAGTGAACTGATGTCAGACAAAGTGAAATAAAAAATTAAATGTAAGAACAATCTTTATGATAAACAGTAGGGAATAATTGAAATCCATATGCCAAAAAAAAATGAACTTCGATCCATACCTTACCAAAAATTAACCCAAAATAGATTGTAGATTTACATGTAAAACCTAAAGCTCTAAATTTTAAAAGAAAACACAGGAGAAAATTATGATGATTTCAGCTCAGGTAAAATGTTCTTTTATATAACATCAATAGCCTGATCCACAAGAGAACAAATTGATAAATTTTGCTCTTCAAAAGACACTGTTAAGAGAATAAAAAGACAAGCCATAACTGTGAGAAAATATTTAGAAATCATACATCTAATAAAGAACTCAAAATCCAATAAAGTTACTCCTCACTGTTTGAAAATTCACATTAGACCACTTTGCCTTTACAAAAGACCGACATTAGTACCTGCTTTCACTAACCAAAATAAATCCAAAGAGGATTTTCACTTTTATGACAACAAGGCACAAAGCGAGAAATACTGTGACTCTGCGTTAGTTTTGCAGCAGCTGTTCTAGAAGCAGTTCATGCAGAGCAGGAAGAGGGGTGTTACCCAGCTCCCCACCACCCCGAACTACTTTACACTCCATTCCTGCCTTTACTACATGTTAACATACTTCTAGATTTCACATGTTCCTTAGCAGGTTATTTTTTAGGTCTAGGAATGCTCAAAAATGTTTCCATTAAAATTAATGGCAAATGATACTTCACTTTTTGCCATTTCAGCATATGAAAGCTGACCTAGAAATGTTCTACTTTCGAATTATGAGGGAAACGTGCAATAAGAAAAGCAACTTTTTCAATAGGCAAACGATTTCAACACTTCACAAAAGAAGACACTTGGATGGCAAATAAAAACATGACAAAGTTAAAACCATAATGAGATACTTCTGCACACCCACAAAAATGGCTAAAGGTAAGCTTGACTATACCAAGTACTGCAAAGATACCAAATATTGCTGGTGGGAATGTAAAATGGCCCAACCACTTGGAAAAATAATTTGGCAACTTCTTAAAAAGGTAAATATCCACTGACCACACAACTTAGTATTTCCACTGCTCAGTACCTACCACAGGGAAATGAAAACTATGATCACACAAAAACCTTTTTGCACATGTTCATAGTAACTTTATTCATAACCATTAAAACTAGAAACAACCTAAATGCCCTTTAACTGGGGAGCAGATAACCAAATCTCCACGTGATAGACTAATACTCAGCAATAACTGCAATACATGAAGTTGAGTGAAAGAGGTCAGACTCAAAAGGCTACATACTATTACAGTTCTATTCACAGAACATTCTGGAAAAGGCAAAACTGTAAGAGTAAAAGAATCAGTGGCTGCCAGAAGTAGGAGGTGGAGCAGGGGCTGACCATGAGGAGTCATGGGAGAATTGGTGGGGGGGAGATGACAACAAACCTGGGACATATTCTAGAATGTGGAGGCAGGCGTGCAACTTGTGTATATTTATTAAAACTCTTGCAACCATATACTAAAAAGAATGACTTTTACTCTAAGTAAAAAATAAAAAAAAAATTTAAGGGAGAGACCCAGTGGGTGTGGGACACCCAAAAGATTTATGAAATCACCTTGCGGGATACAAATTATGGCAGAGACAGCTGACACGGTGCCCAGAATGCTTGTGGATGCTTCATGTAAGAGAGGCACGGGGGTGAGGAGGGGGGCCGCTCAGTCGAAGGTCGCATTGCAGGGCTGTCAGTCCCCCAATATCTGTGCTGCTTCAGTTTCTGGGTGGCAGGAACATCTGCCCATCACCATGGGGCAGGGCAGCCCCGGCCTGGCCCTAACCAGGGTCCCTCACCGTCACTAACTTCAGAGCAGCAATTAGGCTTCGTGGCCTTTAATTAACTCTGACATCAGATGGGGGCGAGCGAAAAAGAGGAGAGAGAAGAAGCCAAGATGCTGGCCTCTTCCCTCCCTGCTGGCAGGCTGGGTGATGGATTCCTCGCACTGAATCACACGGAGTGATGGAGAACCAGGCGCCGGGATGACATTCCGGGAAGCAGGCTCTGCCACCAACCTTCCCGCATCAAAGAGCAGGTGACGGATCAGTGCTCCCTTGGCACTGGCATCTGGAATCACAGGAGATGCTGGTAGAGCAATGTCCACTGCGAGCATCCATCGGGATGCTCATGAGAGGGACCCCAGGCTGGCCTGGGACATGACAGTGGGAGGCAGGGGTCATCTTGGCCTGGACCATGACTATTGGGAGAAAATTTGGATGACTCCAAAGAGTCAGCTGCAAGGATAGAGAGAAAATCTACACATTCAAAGTATTTTTAGTGAGTCACCAATAAATCTGAGCTGAGCACCCTCTATGCACCAAAACTACTCCAGACTTATATGATTCCTGCCCTCCTGGGGCTTATGTTCTACTGAGAAAGGCAGCCAGTAAGCAGCAAATCAAATACAGCATGCCAGAGAGGATTCCTACAACAAAGGAAAATAAAATCCAGCAAGAAGGAAAGATGGGGAAGAGCAGCACAGGCCTAAACAGGGCCTCAGAAAAGGCCTCTCTAGAAGGTGCCATTTGAGCAGAGAATTGAAAAGTAAGAGACTATTGCGGGTGGAAAAGCATTCCGAGCCAAATGAATAGCAAGTGCAAAGACCCTAGGATGAAACTGTTCACTGTGTTCTAGAAAAAAACCAGGTAGCTGGGCTAGCAGGGGTGTGGTAGATGAGGGGAAACTGCTGAAAACCCAGTGGGCTTGTAGGCCCTTGTGATGTGAGTAGAGACGTGGAAACCACTGCATTTTTAAGAAAGATTTATTTATTTATTTTTACAAGCAGAAGCGCAGGAAGGTGAGAGAATTCACCAGAGCCAGAGTGGGGAACAGAACAGGCAGACTGATGAAATACACTGCTGAGGGAGCAGCGGGTGCAGCAGGAGAAGTCTGCGAGCAATGTGGGACCCTTGCCAGCAGCCAGGGATCGAACTGGTGCTGCAGAGGCTGTGGGCAGCTTCGCAGCCCAGCACTCAACTGCTATGCCACCAGGGGAGGCCACACTGCAGTTTTTACAGAAGAATGACATGATCTGACTCGAGTGTAAAAAGATCATTTGAAAAATAGATAGAACAAGAGCAGAAGCAGGAGAGGGAAGGAGATAAGCCGTCACAGCGGCCTCCACCAAGCAGTGACAGTGAAGGGGGTGAGAAGGGTCAGCTTCGGGATATATTTAAGAAGGACAGACGCGCTGTGCTGTGAGACACAGAGAAAAGAATGAAGGAAGACACGAAGATGTCTGGCCCGAAAAGCTAGATGCATCTGTTACTGAGATGGGAATGACAGGAGAACATATTTGGGGTAGGGAGCAAGTCAGGAACTTGACTCTCAGCATGATGGAAGGTCAAGATGCCTATGAGATGAGCATGAAGATGCCCAGTGGCAGAACTTGCAGAAGATGCCTGAGATGCAGATGGAACTGGGAGTCACTGGACGCAGGTAATGGGGATGGACAGGATTAAGAAGGGTCTTGTTATATAAAGATGATCAAGCCTGGGGTACCCTCAGGTCTAGAGGCATAATAAGGCATGGCCAGGGAGGCAGGAAGAGTAACAGCTCAGAAGAGAAAGTATTTTGAGAAGAAAGGAATTGAGTGCGAAATCAAGACAAAGACAGAGAAATACCAGCTGGATTTCACCACATGGGTCATATGGGCAGTGTACTAACAAGAAATGTCAAGGAAGTGTTCAAAATTGAAAGTTGTGGTCACCAACACAATGCACATTTTCTGATCTGAAATGGGAAAAAATTATCATAAAACTACCATAAAGCAGAACATTATTGTGGGTCAAGATGGAGTCAGCCCACTACAGCCCTCTCTCTCACTGACAATAACAATTTCAGGCAAAACTCAAAGCCAATGACCTGAGGACTCTGAAATGCAAACTAGGAGGCTGGAGGAGTCCAAATGCAGAGGCAACTGACTTGGGATGAGGTTCTCATTTGTTTTGTT